TACTTCGTTGGCTGCTGACGTCGACAGTTGCGTTGTCAATTTGTAGGCAGATAGTAGCTCTGTAGGGAGTAGGCTGGGCGCCAAGCGCCAAGTAGGGGGAAGGGCCTGGATACTTATGTTGGTGACGGAGATAGCAAGCTCTCATTGATATTCGGTTTTTCAGTGTTACGATTCTCCATTGGTGTTATTTTGGTGCAATGCTGCTTTCCGGACACTGGGATACTTTCTGGCTTTCAATGTGATTGTGCAATCTGGATTTTGTCATCTCGCTATTTCTCATTGTCCTTGCACTAGGGTGCAGTCACGATTTAAATCCACTTCACACATCCCTCTAATACAAAACATCCCAACCCCCCTCTAATACAAAACATCCCCACCCGACCCTAAAGCTCAGTCGTAGACATTCATGATTTTCCTCGGTTTTGGCACAAAATTCACGAAATCGTGAGTGAGATGCAATTTCAAACTGAAACCATACATGGCATGCTAGCTCCGTAGTTTTCCCTATTGCATTTCACTCCTGCACTTCAGGAACAAAAAGGAAAGACAAGAAAAAAAATAAAAAAGACCAAAAAAAAAAAAAAGAAGCCTGTAAACAATGCAACAAGTTGCCCTCTCTCAATAGGTGGGAATCCCTGCTTGAAATCTGTTCTCCAATCAGATTGGACAAAGGAAATGGCACTGTATGTTCCCTATTGCATTTCACTCCTGGACTTCAGGGACAAAAAGGAAAGACAAGAAAAAGAAAGAAAGAAAGACAAAAAAGAAAAGAAAAGAAAAAAGACCCTGTAAACAATGCGACAAGTTGCCCTCTCTCAATAGGTGGGAATCCCTGCTTGAAATCTGTTCTCCAATCAGACTGGACAAAGGACATTGCACTGTACGTCTTTCTTACATCGCAAAGATCAAAATCACCAAGCACAGACAAAATAGCGAAAGGTCTGACACTGGGATTGTCGCTCTAGAATTGTTATTCCTGGAGAATCTCAGAAACAAAACGAGGCCAAACTAGTTGTCCTCCAAATGCACACCCCCAACTCCCCGATACAACATTATCGTGCTGCAGTCTCGCAATCGGCATCATCGGGATGCTGATGATGCTGGGCCACACTTTCCACGTGCAAGTACATTGCCTGTTTTCCAAAGAACCCTTCCCTTCCCCCGTTCCCGTCCCCCCTCCTCCCGTAAGGAGCAACCACACTGCCTCACACCCAGCATGCATGTAGACAAATGTTCCCTCTTTGATGCATGATGCTCCCACTCGATAAAGAACTCAGTAACTGGGGGGCAACAAAGAACATCGGGATTGCGCTCGAAGGGGACTGGAAAAGCATTTTTGGAGCGTACTCAAGCCCTTCTAGCCTCAGCCAAGTTGAGAACCCAATTGAGCCTCTGCTAAAAATTATTCAGAGGCACCCGCGCCGTAGGTAATATAAATCAGTGACAGGCGGCCTCCAAAAGGGTCCCACGGCCGATAACTGGCATCCAGTACACCTGCGCCTGGAGGCGCTTCACTACACGCCAAGCTTTGCCAAGCCGCCAATGGCAGCCAGCCATCTTTATCGGCTGGTGCAGCCAGCCATTGTGGTCCAGTAGGCCCGAGATGCAAAATTTTCGGATTAGGTGAAGAAACATTTTCTGCAAGGCTGGGAGCCTGGGGCTATGTACTGGAGGTTTAAAGGACCGGTACATCCAAAGCTAACCTGCTTTGCACTTTGCTGACCGACTGCTTCAAAAATTGACCTTCAGGCTGGCTGGCTGCTATGTAAAGCAAGGCTGGCGGAAGTTGAGTGTGTATAGGGGAAGTTGCAATGACCGGTCATTGCAACTCCCCCTCCACCTAGACACACTCAACTTCCGCCCCTAGACATTTAACTTCCTCTCATCTTCCCCTTCTCAGGCCTCAGAAGCGGCCCCCAGCATGCACAATCGAGGACACTGCTCCCCAGGTCGGAGATGTTCTCTGTGTTCCCAGTTCCTTTGTTTGCAGTTCCCTTTTTTCATTCATTCTACTGGTGTTCCTCAGCCAATTGAACCCTGACGTGCCCCCCCCTTACCTGGGGGTCCCCACCCAGCACTACTCCGTTATACCCATTGGGCCACTTTTTTGTACCCACCAGTACTACACTGACCACTAGGATCGAATCTTCCTAGAGGGCACAGAGATACCACAACCACTACCCGCATATCTATCATGGCTTCTCTAATCTTACCCTGAGTTACTACAACTCATTCCACCCCCTTACAGATAGATCACCTCTTTGCACCCTGCTGGGCGTCTCTGCACCAACCCTTGTGCGTAAGCACTCATCTGTACCACACCGCCAAGGCTACAATGTCCCTAAGTCCACAGGCTAACGCAGCCACCCTTAGATCTAACCCTATACAAATTTCCTTTTTTTGATATTTTATATTTGTTCATCTATTTTGGTGCGGTAGCTATCAAAGATTTGTAAAACGATTGGCTGTGCACGAGCTGTGCTCCTTTTTCCATTTTAGGTGTTTTGCACTTCCAATTTAGTATGTATGATGAACTTACTGAAACCCTATACTGGCAGGCCTTGGCGCACACGTTACCACCGCCGACAGCCTCGTTAGAGGTTCCCCTGACGGCCCCCGAGGATGCACCACCGCCCACACATAAGGCCCTTAAAATCCCCCAAGGGAGTCCCACATCCCCTCCCATAGTCTGCTCACAACCGCAGCGATCCATACCGAAGGACCATAGTCCACCCCCGAGATAACCCTCCTGACTTCACCCACCACCCATGGGAAAGTCTCCACAACACCATGCTAAAGATGACCCTAAGGACTCCCCACATTGACGCACCATAAAAACCCCAATCCCAACACCTGAGCATGCAGCACCCCCGGTGTGCGAACGGGCATGCATCAGTCAAAGCCCTCCGGTGTCGATTGCGCACGAAGTTGAGGGATCAAAGATTTGAACCCGCACCCTTGTACCACAAGTCGCACGTTTCACCGGTGCTTCCCCCACTGAGATAATGCCAGTCTCGTTTCATTCCTGCCCTGCCAGCAAGGCAGGAACAGAGTGCATCTTCTGCGCCTGTACGTAGAACTCTGTCAGGTGCCAAAGAAGGAAGGCCGTGGACCTCTTTCTACTAACACATGGTTGCCATCAGATTCATACAGGCCTGGCCATAGTTGCAGTCAGATAGATTTAGCGAAGTACTAGCGAGACGCTGACATCAGTAAGGGACAACATCAGTCAGGGGGGGAACGTCTTGTCCCCAATTGTTCTTCCTATTTGCTTTGCTTCAGTCAGATTCATCCAGGCCTCTGGCCAAATTCACACTAGGACTTTTTACTCTTTTTACGATTTCTGCCCTGCGAGAGAGGGAGGGCATAATGAAACTCCCATACCACATATAGAGCATGTTCGGGCGCAGATTCCACATAATAAAGAGCAGGACAGGAAAAAACAAGAGCATTGACGTTCATTTTTTTCTCTGGAGCCCGATGGGTGTCTCCTCTGAGCACGTGTCCACATGTGCGGATTGGACGAGCAGGTTCGCCACCAGTCCCCTGTGCCCTTTCCCATTGCGCCCACCGGCTTCCCCCCTAATTGCACTTCCCAGCCTACCCGAGCCACCAGCTTTTCCAGAACGAGCCCACCGGTTGTCCCATCCACATGTGTTTCCACATGCACGGATTGAACCAGCAGGAAACCCACCAGTCCATTTGCCCTTTTTCCATTGGGCCCAACCAGCTTCCACCACCCCCTGTTGCACTACCAGGCCTACCCCAAACTCCAAACCTTTTGGGGCGAACCAATTTTGATGCTCAAGTTGGCTGGCACCATGCACCGGTCGTTTTAAGAGGAAGAGAGGAAAACCCTTCCCGATTCCCCACCTGAAGGAGCGGAGAACAAACACATCAGACAATAGTGGAGAACAAAGACATCACACCAAATACTCTCGTAAGTTGGAAACCAGTCCAGTCCTGACAAGCAAGGCGGGCAGTCAAACAGGAAAGGATGTCGCAGACAGACACAGAAATAATCGATATTTACAAGAGCCATTGCAAGAGCTTTTGATGAAACAATGCACCCAAACAAATTCATATCAGGTGCGGAACACTCCCCGCCGTTTTGGTCGCACAGCTCAGGTGTTCCGCAGGATTCAGTGTCTCCACCACGCAGGCACATCCTAACAAGGCTTGGTCACAAATAGCTAGACACGTTCTGCAGTCAAATGCGGCTTTCTTAAATCACCACTGCGTTCCCAGCCATTTTTCCAGAGTCGCACCAGGAATGTTGGTGCGACTCTTGGGAAGAACCACGGCGCCATTTCGGTGCACATCCATCCAGGCAAAACAGGCCTCGCATGCAGGGCCCACTTCGCCTGGATGGACGTCTAGCAGCCGAGTGTCGCCGCAGCATGCATGCATGCACACTGCGACTCTGAAAAAATGGCTGGAAAACGTACTGATGGCTTAATTCTATGCGTGACGGCGACACGCCATGTACCAGCCTTCCTTCTCCTGCAAGAGAGCTACAAATGACACACATGGTCACAAATGCAGGCAACCACTTCATACAGTGCGACATTACCCGCCTAACAACGACAACTCTGATCAATACCTGGAAAGAACACGAGCACTCACATACTGCACTTGTGCCTCGCACTCGCTGCTGGGACACAAAAAAAAAAGAGCCATTTTCCATCAATCCTTTGCCTAACAAGCCCCATCAGCACAGCATGCACATGTGGATTTCTGCTCAAGTCCATATGCATCCGCGTGCAGATGTGGACCGCCATACTGCTGCATCTGGACTCGTGCATTAATTGCTCGGGCACAAGGGAAGCCTTTTGCATCACCCCATCATTTCCAACTGATTCAGTTATAGAGGATCACAAAGGGCATACTCGGACTTAAGACTGAATGTAGTCATAATCAGGGCCAAATACATCCCATAAAATTTTAGTCTTAGCATATGCCCTCAAAATGCAGTGTACAGACAGGTCAGATAACTGCCGGATAAAGGGGTTCCACAAAGAGCAGAAATGAATGACACGAATGACACGAATGTGCAAGATGCATTGCCTAGCGCACACCATCGCACCTCTCCAAGTTGAAGCCACGCAACTTTTCGGTGTGTCCTTCTAGGTATCAGCACATACACGACTACCATCACCCTTCATCCCCTTCAAATCATCCCCTTGAATGGGATAAATCCACGGCTGCTCAATCATTCTTGTACCCATTTCACAATCTCCTCTCTCCCTCTTTTCCACTCACTCGCTCACTAAACTCGCTCACTCTACCGCTGCTCTTCATTCTCTCTGCTCTCCTCACATCTTCTCTCCCTCTCTTCCGCTCACTGCAATCACTTCATCATACCAGGTAGCATGCTCCCTGTATGGGGTTCAGAGTCAACACTGCAAATACCTGCAACTCGAAGTGCACACTGCTGACCAAAATAAAGTGAACAAAAAAAAGATAGATTATTTTTTTCCACGGAAATAACTCCACGGTGGTACGTAGGCTAATGCAGCATCCAGGCAGTCGACACATCTTATCCAACCCCAAAACAAGACACCGACCGACCCTGCAGGTGCCAAGCCCTACAACGGACAACCCAAGCTCCATCCGAGGGGGAACACACCCAGAGAGAAAGTACGTGCAAACGGGGCAAGAGGCGAGGGAGGGGAAGGATACGATCAGGTAATCTACGCTGGAGAAGAGGAGAAAGGTCAGGGATACGATCTCAGGGCAGGTAATCAACTCTGGAGGCCCCTCCGACGGTGTACAAGTTCGCACTCTTAAAGTGCAACAAAATGCAATTGGCAAGTACTACCGTCATGCAGGATCAACAATCTTCATGAACCTCCAGACGCCGTAGGAGGCAGGTCAGCTCAGAAGACAACCCCACCTTTTTCACTTCCCATGTCGTTTCCCTTCACGCTATACGCTCAAGGTGTCGGCAGACCGACAAAGATCAAGACCTGCCAAGTTGCCATGTTTTGGGTGCCAGTTGCACTAGGATACATTAGAACTTAAACAAGTATTCCATCCCCCATGTCGTCAATGTCATTACCATCATCACCATAAAGCAAAGCACTGGAGTTCGAAGCTGATATCAGAAGCTGTGACACATGCAAAATCCCACAAACAAATTAAATTGCCTACCTTGTGCGCGTATCAAAGCAAGCAAATGACTCACATGCATAAGCGCCCAAACACACAGGAGTCAAGAAGAGCACTGCACATTTTCAGTATAACAAATACCGAGCGGATCAATAACGTACTGCTCAAACCTCAACCGCATAGAGCCATTCACATCCACCTCTGCACCACCTCTCTCTCTCTCTCTCTGTGGCTCACATCCACCTCTGCACCACCTCTACCTCTCTCTCTCTCTCTCTCTCTCTCTCTCTCTCTCTCTCTCTCTCTCTCTCTCTCTCTCAGGAGTCAAGAAGAGCACTGCACATTTTCAGTAAAACAAATACCAAAGAGATCAACAAGGTACTGCTCACCTCAACCGCATAGAGTCATTCACATCCACCTCTGCACCACCTCTCTCTCTCCCCCCCACCCCCTGTCTCTTATACACATCTAGATGTGTATAAGAGACAGGGCTAGCAGTGACCATCCCTCCACTACGTTCGGAGCAGAGATAGTGTCAAATGCATGCTAACCNCCCCCCCCCCCCCGGGCCCCCCCCCCCCAAAAAAAAAAAAAAGAAAACTCGATCTTCCTGCTCCCCACTCTTCTCATTCTCACCATCCTCTCCTGCACCCTCTTGGCACCCTCTTTGTTGTTGTGCACCCCTTTCTCAGCCCACCCGTGTTTCCCCCATCTTTTTGCTTGGGAGGCAGCAAAATTCGCTCATGCTCACCTCCCCCGTCTCCTCTCTCGTCTCGCCTTCATTCAGAGTCAGCCACATTCACAGCCACCCCCCACTCTGGTTGGTTCCTCCAACCAGCCCCACACATCTTCTGTGCGTTGCAGGCACTGCTCCACCACCGCTGTGCGCGAGTCTCCTCAACATAGTGAGCACGGTTTCTTCGGCAGCACCGCTCCGAACCTCCCCCCTCGCTGGCTCCACTTACACCTGCAATGAAACTTTAGTAGTGGTCCCTCCCTGCATCCGCGCCCCTGAGCAAGGGCAACGCTTGCAGCAGTTGTCCATGTTGACAGGCTGCTGCACACGTTATACGTCAGTGATGATGCAGGTGCCCGATGAGAAACAGACCAGGACTGGCGGCAACACGTGAAGGCCGCTTTACCTATTGGCGAGTCCTAGTCGCAAATGGCACATGGCAGCGTCAGTGAGGGCCACGCCTGCAATGCAGGATCGCGAGTGGAGTGCTATCGTGCGAGATGACGATTACAAAAGTTATCAAGTACTAACTACAAACGCACGTGATCTCAAATGTCCGCATGCATGGTCTTCGGAATCTTTCCGGACTATACATTCGCTGCTAGCACATACATGCAAGCCTACCCCCATGACATTTACATAACACCGAAATTCTTGGCATGGCAATCATATATGCCAACCTGACGCCTGTGAAGGCGATCTGTTCGATCATGCCGATGACCCAGTTTGGCAACAACACCCAGAAAGAAGTACACAGCAAAGCAGGACTTACCCTCCTTGGCGTCCTCCAATTTGCAATTACCAAGCAAGCGCCGATTTCAGACGTGTGACGCTGTGTCCTGGGAGAGAGCATTGAGCGTCAGTCAGTCAGCCTCATCCCCAAGTAGCAGTTTCAGATGTGTCACGCTGTCCTGGGCGAGAGCATCGAGCGTCAGTCAGCCTCATCGCCAACTTTAGATGCCTCATCCTCTTCCCAGGTGAGAGCATTGACAATCAGCTTCCAATCCGTGCCCGCACTTTGTAAATGCTTGCCCACTACACGGCTTTTGTCGGGGATACTTGACACAGGCAACTATCTGAGTAATGGCACTATGATCGGGCGGGCCCATCACCCATACTACTACTAACGAGTCTAACGTGCCGCCGAGTCCCACATGCAGATGGCAAGCAGCACGCTCCCTTGCATTATGGCTGGCACAACCCTGTCGCTGCTAAGAAGGATAAGCGAAACGGTCGCCAGAGCGGCGTGTATGTTCTGTTCTCTTGCTGTGTATGTATATTCTCCATGCACAGTGATTCTTAGCTGCAGACACTAGCGTTTACGCCCGCAACATGATAATGGGACGAGCTCAATAGTAGGATGCCTAGCGCATCGTCTTGCCTTTACTCACTGTTAATGGCTTGGACACGTAGAATGGCCAATTTGCCGCCAAGGAACGGCGTGACAAATGTATGATTCGCATATGCCGTTCCTTTGCAGTGAGAGCCCTCTTCTTTCGTCCTTGCCTTAGACCCACATACCATTTAGCCTGCGGATGGACACTGCCAGCTGCCAAGATCATTCTTGTTACGCTAAAGCTCTTTTCTGAGTGTGGTTTACCCTGCCGTCATCCACATGATCCAGTTCGCTCCCGCCCTATTCGTCGCTAAGGCTGCGCTAACCCTAACACCTTCGCCCCACGAGTTCTCATACTGTTCCTCCCTGTCTTTCCCTGTCGACTTCTACTCGGTAGCGTGCAAGTGTGCTTCTTCAAAGAAGGCGGGTGTGCGTCGGCACGTTTCGCTCAACTACTGACTAACCGGCAGCAGCCTTCCACCCTGTACAAAGAAAAAGTAAGGCCGTTACGAAGTTGAAAAGGAGTAACAAAGGGAACCTTCTCTCTCTCTCTCTCTCTCTCTCTCTCTCTCTCTCTCTCTCTCTCTCTCTCTCTCTCCTCCCTCTTTCGCGTGCACGCGCTAGCGACGGTGGTTATAGTCTGTAACTCTGTCGCAATATATTGTTTGCCACAGATACATCTCCATCACTATCTCTATGCGTGTCTCTCTCTCTCTCTCTCTCTGTGTCCCTTCCGTTCTAGCCACCTTCACCAGTCCGTCCACCAGAAGCGAGCTCGCGCGCACCTAGGAACGGAGCACCACATCGGTACACTCTGTGGGCGGGCGAGCAGAAAATGCACTCGATTCGAGAAAACAAGAGTGTGCTCGGCGAGAACGAGAGGATCATAAATTAGCGGAAATTAAATCGTAGCTTCTCCATCATCGTTCGAAATCAACATCAACCAAGACCCCGCGTACACGCCGTCGTGAACCCATCTAGTTATCTACGCGTGTTCACCTTATTTTACTTTATTTTATGCACTATCGAAACTCAAACCGTGCCATTTGATTAGTCGGGACCCAGGAGGACAGGGTGCCATTTTTTTTTATTGGTTGGGGCTCGGGAATCAGTTGGGTAGAACATGACACAACAAGATACGAGGTGGCTCCTCTGGTCCAAAAAAACAAATGCTCCTTTCTTTTTGATAGACGAAAATACTTACAGACTTGAGACTTACCACAGCACACACAGCTTATATATAGACTGCTAACAGCATCGTCACACTAGCACCCTCTCGACTGAATCTGTCCGTGATTGCAATTGGGGAAACTACCAACTATCCCCCGAGTACCGTCCGCTGACCGTGGTTAGGTTACAGATGGGTCGACAATTGAGAAAGGAACAAGATGAGCGGAACTGGTCTCGGCAGCTTAGCTCTCAAAGCATTCCTCCACCTTTATTTGTATGTTCTCATGATCCATCAATCCGCAGCTGAACAGAAAGAGAAGTCGTTTGACGCCAGAATATATCACCGAAACATCGCATTATCACTCAATCGCCGAGGAGACTTTCGCTGAGGCATCATCCCATTCCAGTGCCAGCGACAAGGACTGGCTAAGAGCATGCATACTACAAACAACTCGCCAACTTCCCTGCATCTCTCTCTGGCCGCAATTACGGCTAGGTACCTTTCCGACAATCGAGCGAGAGGATGGCCTAAAACAGTACACAGAGAAACTCAACCGGGATGTATGGCCTCTTCACGGCCTTTCAGCAGCGCGTCAGTCATCATGCGCGTGGACGGGGACACACGCCCAGATACGTAACCGGGTAATCCAGCACCTTGGAATGAAAAACTACTCTCACAGGCGCGGGCAACCTCAGAGGATGCCACACCCTCACATTCTCTATACCCCTGTGTATGCACCTCCCCAGTTCCTGCCTGCCGTGATTTAGTAATTAACGCCCGCCCACCCGAAAGACCGACTTTCAAAAATACCCCCACACCGAACACCTCGAGATGTAGTACCTCGACGACTTCGGCTTCGGCACGCAAATGCAACAAAGAGAGAATGCATATATATCTATATCTGGTCGCTGCAGGATCGATGCATGTGCTTCCTGGCGAAGGAAATTATATTGCCCGTCGCTGGACTCCTCACCAAACGTAAAGCATGGCGAGTGCACCTTCAGCCGAAAGGCGGAAAGCTGCACGCGCCATTTTCTTGTCCAGACGGAGCGAGGTCCAAGCCATTTGGTCGTTTAATTGTTTTCGCGGGGCACCTTTGCTATCTATTATTATTCCCCTTCTTACTACTAATACTCCCATTTATCGCGCAGTGAATTCGTGTCAATCCTCAGAAGAAGGGAGAGGGTTCGAGTCACAATTCCTCTGCCACATTCAACCGTCCCACAACACGCGACACATACCACATCCATTGGCCTTCAATCGTCTATTTCTCTGACTGCCTAACGTTGTACCCCACTCGCTCATTCCTTCCGCCAAGACGATCAATCTCTTCCCTCAACGACAACCCATCTACCATTACTCCGCAACACATCACGTGTACTCTTACTCCACATTCACCGTCTCTCGCTTCCCCCCCCCCGCGCTACCTACTCCCTTCCTCTCATTCCACACAACCTCTCTCTCTCTCTCTCTCTCTCTGTGTGTGTGTGTGTGTGTGTGTGTGTGTGTGTGTGTGTGTGTGTGTGTGTGTGTGTGTGTGTGTGTGTATGTGCGGCCGCAACGTTAGGAAGATGTCAAGTACCCGATTATTCGCAGCCGATTCTGCTTGGAACCAGGTTGCATGCTGGTAGAGTCCTTACAGGCGAGCCTCGCATGCTCCCCCGGCATTTACACGTCATCGCTGATTAGCGTCCTCTCGTTACTCGCCACGTGCCCCGTCGTTGCTCACTGACACATGGCACGTGCCGCACTAAGTGCTTTGAACACTCGCTCGCCTTCACAAGCGTTCTGTTCCTCTTGCTGCCTTCTCATCGTCCTCCTCGGTGGGACAGCACAACTTGGGTGACTTCGCCTCCTCTCTTCTCAGTGCAATTCGAAGGAGCGATGGCGACAAGATGCAGCGCAAAGGCCATCGGAAATGCGCGCGGAACTGGAACACTTGCGCTCAAGCCCCACAATTTCCCAGACGTCGGAAAGTCCAATATACCTACAACTGGAAACTTGATTGAACCTAGACCCACAGGCATACCAAAACACCGTATCGCCAGACTGACAAAAAACGTAAAAGACGCCTCTCTCCGACCCTCGCAATCTGGAAGAGCACGACCAAAAAAAGATCGCCTCTCATAAACGACCCACAGGCATTCTTCACGAAGAGGTCGCACGCTGTCTGCACTCTGTCGGACCACCGCGATTTTCCCATCATCATGTCATGTATCGTTTATACATAACTACTAAGAGCGGATTCACACTGTAGCACTATTAGGCCGAACCAAGGCCAGACACGCACAGGAAAGCTCACGAATGAGTATGAACTAGCCCCTTACTGATCCTTTTCAAATGGCGACGACCAATGGTTTCTGGAGCCTATGGAACCAACAACCGCCACGCCCAGAGAAGAAGCAGAGCCGAGAACGCCACAGCACAACGGCCAGATTTCAACCTAGGCGTCACATCACATGAGATACTATTTACACAAGAAAATCCAATCCCTCGAAAGGACCCGGAGAGAAAGGGAGGGGATGAGAAGGAGAGAGGGGGGGGGAAGGGGAAACGGGGGGGAAGGGGAAACGGGGAGGAAGGGAAGAGGGTAGGGGAGAGGGGGGCCGTGGGCGCGGGCGGGAGAACAACCCTCGAACACACATCATTAATCCTGGCCGCCATTTCAGTTCACACCACTAGCTTTCCCTCCTCATACATCTCCCCAAATCACCTTGTCCTCGTGCTCCAAGCCCCCGCTGTCTCCCCACCTCCCCTCCCCGTCGTCTCCCACCCGCCCTCTCCGCCGTCCCAACAATCGCAACCAGAACCCGAAAAATCCCATTCAAGCCCCTCTCTCTCTCTCTCTCTCTCTCTCTTTTTTTGGCGCGCGCGCGGGAGGACGAACGAGGCATCACCGCCAAAAACGCCTCCTCCCTCTACCTTCGCCTTCAAGCAGCGAGTTAGATTGGATCAAGGTCGAAGTAAAGGAGGCGGGAGCGGAGAGAAGGTCGAAGTAAAGGAGGCGGGAGCGGAGAGAAGAGAGAGGAGTTCCGACTCTCAACGGTCCGTATCCGAGGAGAAAAGTCATATGCGGAGAGACGACAGGAGCGTGTCGCCACGTCCGTACGTGACTGCTTTGGAGTAGGGTCACGGGACAAATGTTAGGGAGGACGAGAGAAATTACACTTCAGCTTTATCGTCGAAGAGAGAGAGAGAGTGCGTGTGCATGAGAACGAACAGACGGCAGAAGGGAATGAACAGGACCAGTAGGCAGAAGGGAATGCACAGGACCAGTACTACGGTCGGCGAAGAGCGTAAAGCGCCTACGGACCGAGAGTCCGGTTGCTCCCGAACAGCGACTGCAACAGCGCAACTACGATGGTGAGCGAGTAATACACACTGGCAGGCGAAAAAGATGAAGAGAGCGCGAGAGAGCGTGCGCGCAAGAGGGGAAGCTGACACGGAAAAGGATCACAGCAGAAGAACGGCGAGTCTAGAGCCGTTTCGTCCCATCCTTTCCAGTGAACAGTCTCTGGATTCTTATTATGCCAGGGGAAATACGAACCTATGTGGCGAGAATGCGGACCACCTCGCACGCGTGGATATTTTGGCGAGAGCATTTCCAAACGCTTGTCGACTCCAACCCCCTTCACATCAGAGCAATACATAGCCCATCTCGCGTCCAGAAGACAAAAACACAAACAGTGTTAGTCTTGCTTGAAGAATTACATACCATGATGACGGTAATCGGGCCGTCGCGACGACGGTCACTTAGTACGCCCAACATATGTATGTGGGTGCACATTAACAGGTCATTTCAAGTGATATACAACATAATGAAGGGACGGGTCTCTCTCTCTCTCTCTTTTCTCTCTCTCTCGGCTTGCTAGCCTACTTTTCAAATGTGTGTGAAAGGGGCGGGGCGTGACGGAGAGGAAAAGGGAGGAGAGGCAGCCACGTAATGAAGAAGGGGAGAGGAGTGCAGAAGCTAACTTTCTAGATATTGCTTGTGTTTTACATACGGTATATTTGGTGGGCCTGCACCGGCAGAGCTATAAAAGCAAGAGACAAATGATCACGAATGACCCAAGCATGAGAAGCAGCTTCGACAGAAATTGTTGCTGCTGCACCTCCGGCGACTGCCCCGCCCTCTGCCCTGCTGCGCCATGTGGTCCTGCCGCCATGCCACCTACGAGAGTTGGCCCAAAACCGAACCCCCCGTCACCGGGGAAGTGATACTGCAGACCGAAGAGAGAAGGGAACAAGCCAAATCCTGCAGAGAGAGTGAAGTTGGCAAATTGCGCAGTTGCGAAGGGTCCTCCTCCCTCGCCATCCATGAAACCGAACCCTGGTCCATGCTGATGATGATGATGACGTTGATGTTGAGGCCGCGTTGACTCTGGGCGTTGACCCTGAGGTCTCGCTGGGATCCCAGCGCCCGTCACCGGCTTCTTCCGCGGATCCATCTGATTAGGATTTCCTCTTCCGTACAACGGTATGACCTTCTCTTCATCAACCCCTGCCTTACATACAGGACATTCCTTTCCCGCGACGTGCATCTGTAGCCACCTGTACAGACAAGGCCAGCAAAACAGGTGCCCGCAGAGAGTGATAACGGGATCGTTCGCCAGTTCCAAGCAGATATTGCACTCGAAACTACCACCATCGCCGCTGTTGGACCCGCCAGTCCCACCATTGGCGGTCCCAACGTTTGCGCCTGCCGCTCCTCCGCCTCCCACGGCTCCAGCCGTAGAGGAGGGCTTCTCTGCCCCGAGCTCCGCGCCACCGCCCCCTGGACAAGAACGATGAGACAAATCGCCGGTAACCGTGCGATTCTCAACACCACCCATTGTCCCTGTAGAGTGCAAGCCAGCACGCATTTCCTCCTGCTGCCCACTGATCGACCTTCCTATCCGTGTTGACGACGACCCATCACTCCTCCTCGATGCTTCAAACCTCGTTCCGCCTTCGTCGCTGGTGGATGTCGATGGAGAGGCCATCAGACACACAACCCCTGTTCTACCTCAAACCCTCCCTGCCCCACGAATTGCCTGGTAATGCACGTGCGTCAGCGTTTCGTGGAAGACTATGACCTCTACCACCTGGCAGAAACCCTCTCTCTCTCTCTCTCGCTTGTAAGAGTCTTTCTTCCCCTGCTTCTGAAGGCGTTGATCGAGTTCTCGCGTCTGTCAACAGGTGAGAAGAGTCGACAAGGAGGGAGAGTGATAGAGACGACGAGGAGAATGGTATGATGCTTCTGAAAAGAAGAGGCGTCTGGCTATCCTCGTTCTCCACCTGTGGGTCCAGTGAACAAGAACCAATCTAATCAGGACGACATACGCGCGCGGAGGATCTTTCAAGAATAGTCACATGGCGGGCGCGAATTCCGCACCTATCGCCTACGAGTACGATGCGATGAATCGCTCCGTCTCGCGAATTCCGCACCTATCGCGTACGAGTACAATGCCATGAATCGCTCCGTGTGACGCGGAAAGCGAATAAACTCCGAACAGCATTGATCCGACAACAATCACGTCAGCTTCGCAACGCAACTTCTCTTCACGAACCATTCACAGTAGCATCCAGAACCGCCTACATGCGCCCCCTCCTCTCTTTTCCCACATGGCCAAGCTGCCAGTGGCCAACATCTTGCGCAACAGATTGGATTCGAACCCACGCGACCCATAGAGGATTCCAGTTGGCAACCAGTCAGGGGTGCGTTTTATACCCCTGACTTGTTCGCAGCCCGTCAGGGGTGCGTTTTATACCCCTGACTTGTTCGCAGCCCGTCAGGGGTGAAACTTTTATTATCAAAACCAAGGAGGCCGGGAATCCCTCCACAAACAACCCGGAAAAACATGCTGGGACCTTTACCTAGCTTAGGTTCAGGTGATGGACCAGCGCTTGTCTAGAGGTAGAAATGGCCACAGCAGGACCGCTACTCTGACTGAAGGTCCACCCCTCACACAAACAAACGAATGCCACAAGGCCCCAAAAAGCCGCACAATCCAAAATAGACATTAACTAGCTAAAAAAGGCTACTCAAATACGCAAGAAGAAAAATTAAAAGGATTAAAAGGAAACAGAGCAAACAAAAACCCTACACACTGGTGACAACTAACACACTTTAAAATGGTAAGACAAACGATAACTACTCAAAAGCACAAACGGAGAATTTAAAGAACAAAAACGAAGATACAATGTCACAACCCTCATCTCCCTAGAGTCTCCTAAAACCACCTAAAACGGTGGGTAAGGAGCCCTAAACAATGTTGACGCTCCTTCCAACATTCTCAAGTCCCTCTGCCTGCCTCCAGCGCCTGAATCCCAACCGAGCAATCCAGGTTGATACAATAGGTCACCCATCTTCTCCACTCAGAATCCATGCATCAAGTTGTAGCTGAGAGTCTTCCGCGATTGTTGCAAGAGTGCCACCCAGGCACCACGTAGATCTGAACCACTGGACGCCATGGTCCTGGGCTTTGGAGCCGACCACTTTGCGTCTCCAATCGGCCTGAATAGAGCGTCTCAGCAGCAACTTTGCGGTGTTTCTGATTTGTCTGTTCGTCCATTCCTTGTCGTTGAATACCCGGTCGTTACGGTTTTGCCAAATAACTGTGAACATGATAGCTCTGAGTACTTGGGCAATGTAGCCCTATCCTGAGCTTTTCGCGCAGTTTGCAGGAATTCCTCCCAACAACACCCATTTCTTATTCCATGGAAAGAGGGAGCCAGAAATACGATCCCAGTGCCTTGAGAACCAAGTTTATATTTGGACCGATGCCAGACAGTGCCACCACAAGTGGAGTGTAGACTCGAAAGCCCAGTTACATCTACAACATTTAAGATCAACTGTTAGACCCTTTTGAGTCAGCCAAACCGTTGAGGGGGTAGCCAGCGGTTTGACACGGGATCAGTTTAAGTTGTTCCCAATATGATAACAGAGAGGAATCTATTCGGGCAGGATCAATGTCATGGTCCAATTCCAGTTGTTGAATCCACTGAGATCTGGATGTAGTCAAGGGATATTTCAAAGGTTTTAACACCGAATTTGAGTGAGTATTGTGTGAGATCAGGATAATCTCCTCCTCTGACTTGCATTATCCATTCCCAGAGATAGGGGTCAAGCTTCAGCTGTAGGACCGAGCGCCCCTGCCCAAAAAGATTGTAAATCGGTTTTGAGTCCCCCACCACAGTGGACAAGACCCAACTCTGTAGCAGGGGTTGCCCCAACTGTGGTTGGGGGTTATCCTCGTTCATAAGCAGTGTTTGAGAGGGCAAAACCGAGTAAGTTTGAAAAATCCGTTTGCCATCTGGTAACCGTTCAGTGAGTCGCCATACCACCTGCGGGGAGGAGTCTAACGAAAACCACGTTCCTAGCGGGTCAAGTGTCTCAGAGTACAATAACGCTTTCCATTTCTGAGGAATTGCTTCAATGAGTGAGGCTATTCTCTGTTCCAGCAGTTTAACTTGTCCCATGATTGGTTTAATTTCCCCTGCATGTTTTCAGTCGCCCCTAAGGTCATTCCACAAATCCTCAATCCTAAGTATGCCCTTTTCTATCCAAACACGACCAAAGTTACCTGGTGAGGAATCTGCAGAAAAGCAAAGACCATCAGCCCATGTGATCCCCGGGCTCTCAAAAAGCGGTTGTAACAACACCTCCGCTTAGGTAACTGGGGTTTTCCAATGCTTTGGGAGAACTTTCTTCCAAACGTTAATAATCGTCTTCCAAAAGGGCGATTTAATCCTCCTGTTTAAAGATGACCTAAGCAGAAGGCATGTCCAAACATCTCTAGGTCTCACTAGGTTTCATTCTTGTGACAGAATCAGTTCTGTCATGCAAATCCAGTGGTGCGGGGTTTGGGACAAGCTAGCTTTCGTTACCCATGAGGATAACATAGCAGCATTTTGTCTTTGAGGGCCAACCAAGCCAATACCACCCTTTGATCTCGGAGAGCAAATCATATCCCAAGCTACTTTAGTGATGAACGAGTTGCCATCTATTGCAAAAGGTTTCCAGATAAAACGAGCACTCCTATGTCTAACCGTGGCGCAAAGAGGCGGACTCAAACCTCTTACTCTGCCTACATACCACAAGAGAGCAAAAAGAGCACAATTAATCACCATGGTTCTCCCAAAAAGAGAGAGGTGGGGGGCATGACCCCAAGAGGAGATTCGTTGATTTGATTTTTGCAGTAGAATGTCGTCTTGGTCGGCTGCCGCTGACGTAAGAGAGATTTGGACGCCCAGAAAACGCTCCGAGCAGTTATCTACGACCCGTTTCATTCCCCATTGAGTATAAAGCTCATAACAGGCCGGAAGAAGAAAGACTGACTTGTGCCAATTAATGGCGGCTTCCGACAGCAAAGACTAGTCATCCAAACACTGTTTGAGTGCATTCAGTGACCGAGGGGGTATTCTGCGAGATAGCAAATAAATCATCAGCTAAAGATTTCACTTTTAGTGGGTAGGGCTCAGTTGGCAAGCTAACGATAGAGGGATGAGCACGAATGTTGTTCAACACGTTCTCCATCTGAATGGCAAACAAAAGCGGAGCTAGAGGGCAACCATGGCGCAACAATCGGGTAAGGGAAAACTTCTCTGACAAACACCCATTTATCATCACCGCGGCTGTGGATTGGTATATAGAGCTATAGCCCATTTACAGAAGTTCTGACCAAAGGACATGACATTCAACGTGGTCAAAGCGTACGACAAGTTAACACGGTCGTACGCCTGTTCCATATCCAACAAAAGTACAACGATGTCCAGTTGGTCATTCTGAATTATCTCTAAACTCTCAATAGCTGTGACGATATTATTGAAAATAGAGCGCCCCTGAATAAATGTCGCTTGATCTGAGTGAACCAAGTCCGGTAGATAGCGACCTAGGCGTCTTGCCAGAATCTTGGCTAGGATTTTATACGAGACATTCAAAACCGAGATCGGGCGCCAGTTACGAATTTCGGCTCTATCACCCTTCTTAAATAACACAGAGATAATGCCATTATACATATTTGCTGTTAGTTTGCCCCCTGTGAGAATATCATTATAAATTTGCACTAAACTCTCCCCCACCACCTCCCAAAGGACTAGGAAGAGCTCCACTGGGAGACCATCGTCTCCGGGGGCCTTCCCTTTCGACATGGATTTCAGTGCCTCGTGAGCTTCCACGATAGATATCGGACGATCTAAATCCAGTCTACCAGTTTGGGATAAACGCACTTGAGTATTATCCCAGTGGGAGGATTCAAGATGTAGTTCAGAGTTTATCTGAGCACCTTGAAGGCGAGAGGTTAGTATATCACGGTAGTAGTAAGCAGCATAATCACAGAGTTGAACTAGCTCCTTGGCTCTAGGGGCATCAATATCACAGGGATAATTAAGTTCCTTCATCCGAGCCGAAGACCGGCTAGTGAGAAGTTTTTGGAAGGCTTTTTTTGTCATCCTATCATTCACTGTTATCCCCTTAATACGCAGGCATTCAATCCAGACATCAGACTTTTGGCATTGTAAATTATCCCATTCAGACATGAGTTTGGCCCGCTCCTTGCCCCAGACCATATTTGAGACAGGATGTTCCTGCATACGCTGCTCAGCGTACTCAATCCTGTTCTGCAATCGTGACTCTTCCTTGTTGCGGCCAAATGCTAAAATATGAGAAAGACATTCAACAGATTCGAGAAGATTTTAGAACCGGTGTTCCACCATTCCCCAAGTGAGTTATACATCAGACGGTTCTCATCCCAACCTTTCCAGAATTCCTTCATCCATGTAACAAGCCCAGGTACTTGTAGGTTATGGGTATTGAAACGAAATACTCCTTTTCCCCTTGTAATTTCTGACATTGCCAAGTGCAAATGTACAGGTTTATGGTCCGACATGGGGTGAAAGTTTTATGAGGTATACTCAACATGATCCCACAAGGAAGACGAGATTAGAAAGAAATTTAACCTACTCTCAATTGTACCTTGGGGTGAGCGGCTATGGGAGAACCAAGTAGCGCCCCTTGAATCAGGGTGGGTCAGCTTTAACGGATCAATAAGCCCATGCAATATGAATGTGTTTGTCAAAGAGCCAAGACTTTAGCCTATCCCTCTTATGCTTAGCTGAGGTATCGCCTAATCCCCTTACATTCCACGTGGCAAGCCTAAGCTTGCCCATTCCTGCCCGTTACCCCGTTACCTTGGATGCGTAGGGAGGATTGAAAGCTCGTTCCGCGTAAAAGGGACCTTCCCTGTGGCTCGGAAAGCCATGACTTCAGCAGGCAGGAACGAACGAACATTGAGTTTAGTTTCTTGTCCGCAAGGAAGCGATTATCGACTTCACACAGCAATTCTGCTAAGCAATTCTGCTGAAGCCAGTGGGGGGGCTTTAATACGTGAG